TCAACCAGGGGATGCTACAGGGCAAATATCTGCCCATATCCCTGCTTGGAAAGCTTCTGATCTGCCCCAACATCTCTGAGCAGCAACAGAGGAGATGGTTTCCTACAAAGCGGATGGTTTCTGCTCCGGGCTTTGATCTTTCCAGATACGGCTGCTGTGCTGCAAAGCTGCCGTGCAGACAACCTCCTGCCTTGCCTTCTTCTGCGGTTTGCAGTGGGGGAAAAATAATCCCATGAATGGCCGACAAAGCCTTCCATGATAAGCCCCCAGCAAAATCAAGGAGCCCAATTCTCCTTTAGGTTACTATAAACAGCTGCAAGGAACTGAACCGGCATCAGTGAAAGGAGAATGAGTAGCTCAAGGGGGTTGCATGGGAGGTAAAATAAGATTAGATCTAACCCACTGTCTTTATGGTGCATGGACTGAGCAAGCCTCTCCCTTCCTCAGCCTGGATCCTGGAGGCTAGACTTCAACCCATTTCTCCCTCCCTCTTAGGGGATGTGGATTCACCTGGCCTGGCGGGTTACATGGCTCTGCTAATTTTGGAGGAGCTTTCAAGATGCTCAAGAAGAGGAGATGGCTTTTGGCTGTGGCAGGCGAGGAAAGCAGACGGTGACCATGAAAAGCAGACTTTAAAGCCAGTTCTTTTCACGCATCATTAAGGCAGGAATTCATTAAAACATCATCAAAACAAATGCTTGGATCAAGTTCATGCCCAGACAGCCCCAAACCTCCCATTCAGGGTATGATAATAATGCTCAGAGATTTGTATCCCAAGAGAGGGTGAACAAGGCACTTCGGGATTATGCTGGGGAAAATTTGCAGGCGGGTCCAAGTGAATGATGAGCCTCGATCCAACTGGGATCCTAAAGCACTAACAGCACTTTGGAAAAATCTGTCCATTGCTCTGCCCCGGACTCCCTAGTGCTTAAGCCAGTGTAGGAGCAACACACTGTATAAACCTAAAAAAAAGATTGTTTTTTTTGCAATTCTTTAGTCTAATAAAAGGTATCATCTCCGAGCCAAGAGGTCTAGAGTTCTGCATTTCTTTTTAAACCTAACGCACAAATATAATGTAACAACAGTCCTACCGAGCCAATTGCTCCAGAAAACGGACTTTGGTGGAAATAACAAGCAAGTAAGAATGGCAGGACAGAGCTCCTGGTGCCTGCATGAGTTTTGTGGCTCAGGGAAGCCGGTAGCAGTTAATAATAATGATAATAAGGATAACAATAATAAGGATGATACTACTACTACCAATAATAATTTGTATTCAAGTCATACCAGATCTGCTACAAACTGCTCCGTGCCTAGAGCAGACACTGATCTTTCCACTGAAATATATTTTAACCAAAGCGTGTGCGGTTCTCCGTCAAACAGTAAATGACACTTTCCAGGGGAACAATTTAATCCCATTTCACACAACACGGCGCGTAATTTCTTGCCTCCTCCCACCCCACCTTCTTTCCTGAAATAATTCAATTTTTTCATCCAGGCTTTCTCCCCAGGAAGCCAGCCAGCAAAGACCCCCCTTCTTTGCTTGTTAACTGCTGTCCTACAACTTTTGCGTGGTTCATACCAACACTTGGAAAAGTACAGTCACTACAAAGTATCCCCTTAGGTTAGAAAAGCCCGGGGCTGGAAGTGATCTTTGTTCCCATTTAAATACTGATGGGCGAGTCCTGCAGGCAAAATTCCCTTGGAATACAATGGGCATGACGAGCAAAGAGGAAGATTTGCACCCGAAATAACCTGATCTCACGCAGTTGCACTTAAAAGGATCCCTGGGCTTTAATACCGCATTTACAGTTGTCACACCCAGCTCCTAGGCACAGTTTCAATGTCTGCGACTTCATTATTTTCCCCTGCATTTTAAAAACCGGAGACCCCAGACCCTGCAAGCAGATCCAAACAGACTGACTCCAAAATACGTGGGGAGGCCCTGCATCGCGGCCTCAGGGGTTTGATCTCAGACCTAGAACTAAATCTCAGACCCAGTCGCTCCACCTCTGCTCTTCTCTCCACTGCTGCATGCCAACGATTTATTATTTCGATTTGCCCGGTTGGCTTAATAATATGCCTGGCATTGCATACAACACAACCGGGAACACAACCTCTGCTCTGCAAGCTTCAAATCACAGCCAGGGACTTTCAAACACTGTTTCGGGGGCGAATGCCGGAGTCATTAAAATCCTGATAGCAAAAACTCTGCACTGTATTAAGTCAGAGAAAGGATCAGGCCCGAAAAGACACAAAAGGCCGTTGGGTGAGAAATGAAGAGGAAGGAAGGGTGTTGGGGAAATCACAGACTTCGATTTTGTTTTTACATTTAAAATTATTAAGAACCCCCTAATTATGGTCACTGCAAAGGGTTGTGTTTTTTTTTAAGGTAAGGTCTACAAAATAATCCTCTTTTCATGCACAGAGGAATATTTAACAGCTCTGGGGCTTGTTACACCGCCTGTCTTGACCATCCTGCTGGTAACACAAGGCAGGGGCAAGCTTTGTCCTTAAAATAATGCCCGGTATTTTATTAAACAACTCTGTGTCCACCACAAAAAAAGCCTGAAAGAGCTGGAAAGCCAGGATCTCCCCCGCAGGACCAGCTTTTTATTTGTGCAAGTTTTCAAGGAGAAGAAAAAAGTTGCAGAAAATCCGACTGGGCACGGGGGGAAAAATTGTGCTCCTGGTGGAGGTTAAACACTCTTATCTTCAAACACGTTGTGGACAAATTTGAGTCATTTTTCTTTGTACTGCATTTTATTTTTAACTACACCTCCGAGGCTAAACAAATACCACCAGAGAGGGAACATGGAGAACAAACAGGATTCAAGAGATTATAACCTGGGGATTACATACGGGACTCACTTCTTTTCCTTTCCCACAGGACGGCTTTCCTCTCCACCATCTTGCCTCAAGAGAAAAGTGCAACTTTTTTTTAGCCTCTTGGTTTTTTTTTTTAAATCCTTTCAAATACATTTCTGAAATAAATGACCTGATTTTTTTGAAAGCCTTTCGGTCTGGCAGCTCAATGAAAGTGAGATGGCTAGCCCAACGCCTTGGAAAAATTAGGGCACTGATTTAAAAGAATGACATGACTTTAGAGGTCCTTTTCTGTCCCTCCCTTCACTTTTCTCTCTGGTCAAACTTGGCCCTACTAATAACCACAATGTCCCTCCAGTATCAGCTTTGGAAACGAAATGCATGCATTTCACCCGGCTCGCAAGCTACGTGCCCGGACCCTCGTGGCAATTCGAGGGGCTTCAGGGACTGAGCACGTTCACTATTTCACCCAGCGGAGCCCTGTCCTGGATTTGCTCCCAAAGCACTTCACCCTACATACAGAGACCCCCACCTGTGGTTGTAAACCGAGGCTGAACCTGCTTCTTCCCCAGACCTAAGGAAGAGCATTTGGGGCCCGAAAATACCTTTTCCAACTACCCAGTCGGTCCAATAAAGGCTCCTGCCAAACCAGCCGGGCTGTTTGTACAGCCACAACAGCATTTACACGCCTTGCTCCGTTTAGCTTTTTCCAGAGACGGCAAGCACCTAAATCAATGCATCTCAACTTTTTTAGGCACAAGGGCCCCCTTGTTAGATTCAAGCTCCCCCTCCTTAAACTTAAGACACCCCTCAGAAAACACCAGCTCTTAAGTTTTCACTCCATTTCTGACTATGGAAAAATAACACGGCAATTTTTCTGTTGCAAAGAATTCAAAAAACCCTAACTGGGCAGAGGGTTGTTTTTTTTTTCTTTTTACACTCTTTTTTTATCCTCTGCACTATTTGGAAATCATTGGGTTCCTCTTGTGAATCACGTGTGCACGCCTAGGTGTGCTAACCCCTGAAAGGATCTCAAGGCACCCGCGGCATCCTGGTGAAGAATCACCAGCATGTGCACCCTGGTGCATCTCGGCCTTGCCATCAATGCCCGACGGCTCTTATTTGAAACAACGGCACACCGGCGCAAACATGGTTGCAAGCCCAGGGCTCTGTGTTTCGCTAGGCAGCCCCCTGCCTAGTGAGATCTCGTTCTTCTAGTTCCCAAGAACAACCCCTGCCATAAAGAAAATGTTCCAGACCCCACTGCAGCGCTCCAAGGACCTCGACGCTCAAGGACCTCGGCGCGCCAACGACCTCCGATCCCTCAAAAAAAAAGGGAATGGACAAATTCTTGGAGGAAAGGGGCATCAGTGGCTATTGAGTGCAGGAGTTAAAGGGACAGCTTCTGAACCAGAACTTCCTAGACCTGAAATGCTGAAGGCTGCAAGTGAGAGAGGAACAGGGAATTTTGATCCTGCTCATACCCTGCTCACTCTCCCTTTCAGCCTCCGCTCTCTGCTGCTGTGCGACACAGGCCTATTGGATGCATTTCAGAAACACAGGCTTTACACCCACAAAGCAACTATTAGCCGCCCTGGTTATTTGAGCGGGATATTGGGTATGCATCTGCTGAGTCTGGGGGTCAACAGAAGAGAAAACAGGATGGGTGAAGGTCCAAGGTTCAAAATAAGTGCACCAAAGGAGGGACATGGAGCAGACCACACTGGCCAGTGCCCACTGGCCCTTGAATGAGTCCCAGGAGCCAGTGGACACTGGCCAGTGAAACTCGGCCCGGACATGTGAGTGGACTAGGAACATAAAAGTGATCCAATGGTCCCTGGGGGTCGCCGTGGCCAGACCCTCCTTCCTGGTCAGATAAATGGCAAGCTTGGCTAGGGCCAGGAGGAGGCTGACCAGGAGGTCCTGGGGACCTGGTGGGCACCATGGACTGTGTGACACAGGAGACCAGGCAAGACAGACTTACGGTCTGACCCGGTCCATAGCCAGTCTTATGGACTCCTCCACACAGCTCTGCCTGCCCCGGCTAGCTTGGATACCTTGGATGCCCAAGTGCCCAGGAGGCAACTGATGCCCCTGATGGCAGGGAAGAGGCTGAGCCCTTGCAGTCAAGGAGGGGACAGATGCCCCTGGCAGGGGGAAGCCAGGATGGGGCTTACCTATGTTGGCGTGCCTTGTGGCCCCTGGCGCAGCACGACTCTGGAGACTGTGTAGCCCGGAGCTGTCGAAGGGCGTCGTTGTCCATGTGCTGCCCATCTCGGGGCTCACGTAGGCCGGGTAAGGGCCAGCGTAGGAGCCGCCAAAGCCCCGGCTGTACTGCTCCCTGGTGCCGGCCGAGAGGCTCAGCGGGCTGCTGTAAGCAGCAGCAGAGGCAGAGGAGGCCAGCGGGGCGCTGCTGGAGAAAGGGAAGCGGGAAGAGGCGGGCGGCGGGTGCGATGAGCCGGGGTTGTAGGCAGTGCCGTCGGGCGCAGGTTGAGTCCAGAGAGAGGGGCCGGAGCCCGGGCTGCCCGGCTGCGAGGAACTGCTGCCCTGCAGGTAGGGCAGGGCGGGCAACACAGGCGGCACCCGCGGGCTGGGCACGTAGACGGGCGAGGCGGCGGCAGCGCTGTGCATGAAGCCGGCCGCCCCGTCGTAAGCCCCCGTGGGGCCGTGGTTGGCCGCCATGGCCAGGCTCTGGTACATGGCTGCGGCTCCCTGTGGCTCTCCTCGTGGCTCAGCGGCTGCAGTGTGGCCCCATGTGGCCAAGAGGCCTGTCCAGTCCTGTCCTGTCGGTCCGTCCGTCCGTCTGTCCGTCCGCACCCACCTGCGGGAGAGGAAAGTGGGTCAGGCCCGGGCAAAGAGGGGAGAACTGCGATTGAGCCCACAATGGAAAGGGGCAGGAGATGTGCGTGCACACACATGCACGCATATCCCCATACACACACACAAATACATAAACACACCCCAATGTGTGCACACACAGATGCGCGCACATCCCTGAGCCCAGGCATACACACTCATGCATTTCCGCACACACACGTCTTCATGCATGCACACACATATACACCCCCTCTCCATACATGTGCACACACATCCCTGTCTGCATATACATATGCATGAACACACACATTTGCTTGCACACACATCCCCAGGCACACATGCATACACACACATATCCCCCTCCACGTACATGCATTCACATCCATGCACCCTCCTGCACCGATATACACTTATTCACACACCCATGCAGATCCCCATGCACACAACCACACACACACAGACACACATGACTACATGCACACACTAGTGCATGGACACACACATCCCCAGGGCGCACATGCACACACACAGAGCACATTTCAATTCACACACATGCCTCCCCCCAGGCAGACCAGAACACACATCCCCACATTTATACAGATGCAGCCTTGCGTGCAGACAGGCACCCCCCCCATGCACATGGATTCACACCCACCCCCTTGCACACAAGAACACAGTCCCACCCCCACACCACCACATTCAGATCCTTTTATTTCCCTGTGTGCACACACATTCACACACACACACACACACACATACACGCAAATGCACACACACATATGCGCACACTCACGTACACATGCTTGCAGATACACACATATGCACACACATGCAGACACACATATGCACACACTCACATACACATGCACACAGATACATGCATATGCACACCCATATACATAAGCATGCACAGATACACACAGATATGCACACTCATGTACACATGTTTGCACACATACACACACATGCACACACTCACATACAGATGCACACGCACAGACACACACATATGCACACGCTCATGTACATGTGCATGCGCGCAGATATACACACATGAACACGCACAGGCACATGCCCACACACATACACACTCCTGTCCCTTGCATGCACGGACACACACGAGGTCTGGACAGGGGTTAGCCCCGACCCTAGGTCCATCGCGGTTCCCAGGAGGAAACAGGGAGCTTTACCAAAAAAATTAATTAAAAAGTAGCCTGAGGCCAAGGGAAAAAAAAGGGCCCGATCCCGGCCAAGAGGCTCCGCGTGCCCCGGCTCCACCGGGTAGCTCTGCACAAGCTTCCCCCGTTCAAAAGGATTTGGGGGAAACCCGCTGCGATTTGCAGCCTGCTCGTTTGATCGCTTTCACTCTTCCGAAGCCGAGGGCGGCTCTGCCCCGGGAAGCCAAGCGCCGCCCGGCAGCGGAACCAGACCAGTCCCGGGCCCCGGGCGGAGGAAGGAGCCGCGGGCAGCGGAGCCGCGCTCGGGGCAGGCCGATCCGCGCCGGCGGCCTCGGGGTCCCTGCCAGCCCCTTCTCCTCGGCTCGGATTGCACGGCGTTCACTGCATTCATTACATTATTCTGCATCATAGTTCATTGCATATCTATATTATATTATATTATATTATATTATATTATATTATATTATATTATATTAATCCTGCCTCAGGCAGGGGGTTGGACTAGATGATCTGGAGGTCCTTTCCAATCCCACTTTTCTAGGATTCTGCATTATTAGTAATAGACATTTGATTATATTCGTTGTCTGATGTTATATTATACGAATTATATTAGTGAGATAGTATATCATATTCATTTTATCATATCATATTATATTATCATATTATATTATCATATTCATTTCATTTAATTATATTATGTTCTACCAATGCTATTCATTATATTCATCCTATCTATTCCGTTGTATTAACAGGCGAAAGATTTGTGCGATCTGAAGAGAAACCAATGTATTACATTGTATTACACTGAATTATATTATATTATATTATATTATATTATATTAT